CTGAGGGATGAGGCTGAGGGAGGGAGGGAGGGGGACACCTGAGGGATCAGGCTGAGGGAGGGAGACACCTGAGGGATGAGGCTGAGGGAGGGAGGGAGGGAGACACCTGAGGGATGAGCGGGAGGGAGTGGAAGCCTCTATCTCTTAGAGTTTTAAAGGAAGTTAAGCAGGCAGCAAAAGAATATGGTGTTAGATCGCATACAAATATACAGAGTGTGCAGAAAGCTTCGATACAAGCCGCTGTCTTCCTTCACATAAAAAGATTCACAAAGCAGAGGATCCACACATATGTCTGGATTGTGGAAGGACCTTCAGGCAGAAAAAACATCTTAATTCACACAAGAGGGTCCACAAAGAGAAGGAGCAGCATCAAGGCTTCCCCTGTGGAAAGACCGTCGGAAGCAGCGCCTCCCTTACTTCCCATCAAAGTCTCCACAGACAGGAAAGGTTGCACCGACGCAGGGAGGGTAGAATGAGGTTTACTCAAAGCAAGGAACCGAATTCCCGGAAAAAAAGACCCACTGGGAAGAAATCATGTAAATGCCTGGAATGTGGGAAGAGCTTCCGCTCTGCAAGTGACCTCACTTGCCATAATAGGATCCATACAGGGGAAAAGCCATATCATTGCGCCGTGTGTGGAAAAAGCTTTGCACAAAAGGGCAATTTCAATTCACATAAGAGGATCCACACTGGAGAGAAGCCGTATAAATGCACAGAGTGTGGAAAATGCTTCAGTGCCCCAGGTATTCTTACTTCCCATAAGAGGATCCACACAGGGGAGAAACCCTATGAATGCCTGGAGTGCGGAAAAAGCTTTAGCAGAAGTGGTGCTCTAACCTTACATAATAGGATGCATAAAGGGGAGAAACCTTATCAATGCCTGCAATGCGGAAAAAGCTTCAATCAAAAAGTTCATCTTAAATCACACGAGAGGATCCACACGGGAGAAGAACCATTTGAATGCACGGAGTGTGGAAAGACCTTCCATTGTTCTTCAACCCTTACATCCCATCATAGAATCCACACAGGGGAGAAGCCCTTTCAATGCCTGCAGTGTGGAAAGCACTTTTCCACTTCTGGTGGCCTTCATGTCCATGAACGGAGCCACACAGGGGAGAAACCGTACAAATGCTTGGAGTGTGGAAAGAGCTTCCGTAAATGCGATCATCTAACGTCACACAGAAGAATCCACAGTGGAGAGAAACCATATCAATGCACCAGGTGTGGGAAGAGCTTCAGTAATTCACGTAGTCTTACTGTCCATAAAAGGATCCACACAGGTGAAAAGCCTCATAAGTGCCCTGAATGTGACAAACGCTTCACTGATTTGCGGTCCCTCGCTCATCACAAAAGGCTCCACACTGGAGAGAAACCATATGAATGCCGCACGTGTGGAAACAGCTTCAGTGCAAAAAATAGCTATGTCATACATAGCAGGACCCACACTGGGGAGAAACCTTATCAGTGCCAGGAGTGTGGAAAATGCTTCAGTGATTCTGGAGCACTGAGGATCCATAAAAGGATTCACACAGGGGAGAAACCCTTTAAGTGCATGGAGTGTGGCATGAGTTTCAGGACAAGTGGTTGCCTTGGTATCCACAAGAGGATCCACACTGGGGAGAAACCGTATACATGTCATGAGTGCAGAAAAACCTTTAGACATAATCGTTCATTCAGGTACCATCGAAGGCTTCACTCAGGGGAAAAACCCTATAAATGCCTGGAATGTGGAAAATGTTATAATGATAGTAGCAGTCTTACCTACCACAATAGGATCCACACAGGAGAGAAACCGTTTAAATGCATCGAGTGTGGAAAGAGTTTCAAAGATGTTTGCAGTCTTACCGTCCATAAAAGGACCCACACAGGTGAAAAGCCTTATAAGTGCACTGAATGTGACAAATGCTTCACCAATTCGGGGGCCCTCACTTGCCACAAAAGGGTCCACACTGGGGAGAAACCCTATACATGTCATGAGTGCGGAAAAACCTTTAGATATAATTGTTCACTCAGGTACCATAGAAGGCTTCACTCGGGAGAAACCCTATAAATGCCTGGAGTGTGGAAAATGTTATAATGAGAGTGACAGTCTTACCTCCCACAATAGGATCCACACAGGAGAGAAACCGTTTAAATGCATCGAGTGTGGAAAGAGTTTCAAAGATGTTTGCCGTCTTACACTCCACAAAACAATCCACACGGGCGAAGCCGCATCAGTGTGTGGAGTGTAGAAAGAACTTCAGAACC